CCAGGACTACAGCGTGACATTTGTGTATATCCCGGGGAGGGAGAACACGATGGCCGGCTTCCTTAGTAGGCCCCCGAGCGGGGGTGATTCTGACTCATCACGAGATAAGAGAGTTGTAGCCGAGGCAATTAAAAATAAAAGTCGTGGGCCCCTCTCCCCTTGGTAGATAGCGAACGGACGGTGGGAAGATGATAGAAGAAAGTACATTCGATGTGTAAAGCGTAGCTGTCGACCGCAGTATCGCCTCGATAGAACTATTGTTTTTGGCTCTTCACCACTTAGTGTGAATAGATAATTTGTTTTAGACTAGAGGCCTATATCTGTAAATAGAACATATTATGCACTGAGGGTTTTGTGTAAGCTGATTTACCTAAATTTCAGCAACTGTATACACTAATTTGTATACATAGGTCTATATTATAATATTGGGCTGTGGTAAATAACAAATATGTATTCTCCTTTTAAGAAGCAGTTTTTTTTCTATTTTCTGTGGCTGCAAATTCGGTTTTAGTTTTGGTATATGATTTTTTCTTTAGAGTTACTCATTTTTTTCTTAACAACGCTTTATTCCTAGTGATAGGCTAAGATTTAAAGAGTTTCAGCTTTCTTTTATTTTCTATCTACGAGTTTGTTTTAGCGTTATAATGAATCGTAAAGTGTCAGTTTTTTTTTCTTCCTTTTTATTTTTAAGCTACTAGTGTGATGGATTTTGTAGCAGAGAAAGGGAAGGAAGTCTCAATCACTCTAACAGATCTCCATTTATCACCTGCGTCAGCATGGTGCTGTTAGATTATGAGCTACTATGTATTCAAATGTGATGATCTTGATTGTCCCTAGATTGTGGGCTGAAGGCCTCTTTATATTAACAACCCAGTTGCCAGTCTCGATCACTCTGTCAGATCACCATTTCCCATCTGCATCGGCAGGATGTTGTTAAGTTGTGAGTTCCGATGCATTCAAATGAGATGATCTTGATTGTCCCTGGATTGTGGGCTGAAGGCCTCTTTATATTAAAACCCCTGTTGCCAATCTCGATCACCCTTTAATTATTTTTATTAGATTTGACACCTCATTAGGTGTAGGCTACCTGCATTGAGTTGGGGACATCTTTGTCTTAGTTATTAGTTTGGTGTATTAAACCTTTGAAGGTTCCTTCCATATGATTGCCTGTGGGTGGGTAGCTCTTGGCAAGGGGCCTCGTTTATGAGTAGAATATCTTGATGAATTTGAAAATAAGTTTGTAGGCTGTTGAAAATTGGAGTATTTTTTTTCTTATACGTCCACATATGGTTTTCTATGTTTTTATTACTTTTTTTTTTCAATCAGATTTCTTTTTATAGAATCTTTACTTACTTAACAGTGTGATAACTCAGAGACGCGATGTTTGCGTCTACATCCGCATGACACTGTCTAGAGGTGAACTAGGCGAGCTATGGGTGGTCTATTAGGGTCACTAGGATTTCATTATATATGGAATTTTATTACTCATCAGTGTGATATCAGCAGAGACGCGATGTTTGCGTCCACATCCACACGACACTGTCTAACAGTGAGCTCCTCCATCTCCCGCACTGATGAGAGTAAACCTCCTTATACGTTCACATATGGTTTTCTATGTTTTTATTACTATTTTTTTTAATCAGATTTCTTTTTATAGAATCTTTACTTACTTAACAGTGTGATAACTCAGAGACGCGATGTTTGCGTCTACATCCGCATGACACTGTCTAGAGGTGAACTAGGCGAGCTATGGGTGGTCTATTAGGGTCACTAGGATTTCTTTTTATTGTTGCACCAGGTTGCGGCTTGGCAGACTCTTCAGCCTGGATTCTCTCCTGTGCTGGGTCTTGCATCTTACCAGAGCGTGTTTCAACCATCCTACAAATTTATAAAAGGGAATAACGAGATAAGTCTTCTTTAAGTAGCCACCAGAATCCTTTATTTATTTTCTCACATCAAAGAGAGCAGTGAAGTCACACGTGTACCTAAATACAAATGATGACAATCTAAATAATCTGTGTTTTAAATAAATATCATAGAATATTTTATATAAAAATAAATAAATATATAATTTAAATTTCAAATATATTAAAAATAATATAAGAAATACGCCATTAATCATGATGTAACACTTCCCCCTCTCCAGAGGTCGTCACGTCCTCGTGAGTTACCTCATCAATTCTCTCAAAATAGGGTTTGAGTCTTGAGACATGGACAATCAATGGGTCTTGGCCAGGATTATCTTTTGTCTCAATTAAGTAATTTACGTTAGACAGCTTCTTTAATATTCTATATGGGCCAAAATATTTTCTCAGTAGTTTCTCACACTTTCCTATTTTCCTAATTGGTGTCCAAACTGCTACTAATTCTCCTGGTTCGTAGCTTCTTTCCATGTGTTTCTTGTCATAGTTCTTTTTCATTCTTTCTTGAGTCTTTATTGTGTTGTTAATAACTAATTTTCTTGTTCTGTTTATTTTGTCTAAGTGATGTTTTATGTATTCATCATAATCATCTTTGTCAATGTCCACCGAGATATTCCTGTCGTCCAAAAGAGACGTGGGTTCTCTTCCAAACATCAGGAAAAAGGGAGAATATCCTGTGGTTTCCTGAATTGTAGCATTGTAAGCGTGAGTGATGAATGGGAGTATTTCGTCCCAATTTTTCTGATCAGTGTTCACATACATACTGTGCATATTGATCAATGTTCTATTTAACCGCTCTGTCAATCCATTAGTCTGGGGATGATAGCTCGTTGTGAAGCAATGTTTAATCTTGCACGTTTTCATCACCTCTTTCATTAAATTACTGGTAAATTGAGAGCCTCTGTCACTAATAAGATATTGTGGGGCTCCGTGCCGAAGAAAAATATCCTCTACTAGAAATTTAGAAACTTCTTTCACTGTTGCTTCCGAGACTGCTCTTGTTTCTGCATATCTAGTGTAGTAGTCCGTCAGCACGATTATCCATTTTTTCCTGTTTTTCGTAGATGGTAGTGGACCAACAAAGTCAATTCCAATTCTTTCGAAAGGAAAGTTGGCTGGGGGGATGGGTTGTAGTAGTCCAGAAGGTAATTGGTTTGAGCCTTTCCTACTTTGGCAAAGGTGACACGTCTTAACGAATTCTGAGACATCCTTTAGCATGGATGGCCAAAAGTATTTACTCTTTATTCGGTACATGGTTCTGGCGACGCCCAGATGGCCATTCGACATATGATTGTGATATTCTTTCATAATTTCTCTCTTTTTATTCTCTGGAACCACAAGCAACCACGCCCTGCCTTCAGGGTTCGGGTTTTTCTTAAAGAGGCATCCATCTTCTTCTTTAAAGTTTTGCGCAATTGATCGCCTGCTTCCATTAAGGTTTTTCTTAACACTTTCGATAAATTTATCCTCTTCGTCTGTTATTTGATTTAAAAAATAGCCTTTCAAAATCCTCATCCCAATCAGTTTCTGGTAAGGGCCCCCTAGATAAGCCATCGGCGTCCAGATGCTTCTTTCCCGATCTATGTATTATATCGAAGTCATATTCTTGAATTTTCAATGCCCATCTTGACAATCGACCTGTTGGATCCTTCAAGTTTTTGAGCCAGCATAAGGCGTGATGGTCTGTTACTATTTTAAAGTGTCTTCCATAAAGGTAGGGTCGTAATTTTGACATTGACCAGACAACGGCCAGACATTCTTTTTCAGTGGTTGAATAATTTTGCTCCGCTTTACTTAGGGTACGACTCAAATATGAGATCACCTTCTCTTCACCACCGATGTCTTGGACAAGTGTTGCACCTATGCCGATGTTGGACGCATCAGTATGAACATAAGTAGGTGCATTTGGATTGAAGTGACCTAAAATTGGTGGACTTAATAGTGCTGTTTTTAGGGTCTGAAACGCTTCCTCTTGTCTTTCTGTCCAGGTAAATGATACACTTTTTTTTATAAGGTTGGTCAAAGGGTCAGCAATTTTTGAAAAGTCTTTGATAAATTTTCTATAATATGAACACATTCCCAAAAAGGATTGTACTTCTTTGACCTTTTTGGGCCGAGGAAGTGGTCTGGTAGTTTCGTGAGGCAGTCGGCGGCACGTACCTCGATTGTTGTTGGGGTCTAGAATAGCGTGGACCGTTATATAGGTTTCTGGATTTCTCCACACGTTCTCGATACTTCTTTTCAAAAGAATCCATTTTCTTGCACACGACAAGAAGGTCATCGGTCGTTTTAGGAGGGTTCAGGTAGAGCGCGAATGAATACTCTTTTTTCAGTCCTCCAATAACATGTTCAATTTTTGTTTCTTCTTCCATTGCGGGGTCAACCTTGTTGCACAACACTAGAATGTCTTCCGCGAACCTAATTGCTGGTTCATTCCAGTGTTGCATTCTGTTGAGCTTCATTCTAAGTTCTTCTTTATTCGCGTCCAAAGAAAAATCCTGAATGAGGCGGATTTTAATATTTTCCCAGCTCGTGAAACTAGCTTTGTGTAAATTCAACCAGGTTTTAGCGCTTCCCGTCATGTTCATGGCGGCATAACGAGAGATAATGTAGTCTGCCCAATGGTACAAGAAGCCAATTTCTTCAAGAGATTCAATCCATGGGCGAGGGTCTTCCGTTCCATCATACTTGGGGATGTCGATGTTGGGATTCAGGACAACTGGGTCGGAACTAGCATCTCTACCAATTGTTGCACCAGGTTGCGGCTTGGCAGACTCTTCAGCCTGGATTCTCTCCTGTGCTGGGTCTTGCATCTTACCAGAGCGTGTTTCAACCATCCTACAAATTTATAAAAGGGAATAACGAGATAAGTCTTCTTTAAGTAGCCACCAGAATCCTTTATTTATTTTCTCACATCAAAGAGAGCAGTGAAGTCACACGTGTACCTAAATACAAATGATGACAATCTAAATAATCTGTGTTTTAAATAAATATCATAGAATATTTTATATAAAAATAAATAAATATATAATTTAAATTTCAAATATATTAAAAATAATATAAGAAATACGCCATTAATCATGATGTAACAATATATGGAATTTTATTACTCAACAGTGTGATATCAGCAGAGACGCGATGTTTGTGTCCACATCCACACGACACTGTCTAACAGTGAGCTCCTCCATCTCCCGCACTGATGAGAGTAAACCTCCTTATACGTTCACATATGGTCTTCTATGTTTTTATTACTATTTTTTTTTTCAATCAGATTTCTTTTTATAGAATCTTTACTTACTTGACAGTGTGATAACTCAGAGACGCGATGTTTGCGTCTACATCCGCATGACACTGTCTAGAGGTGAACTAGGCGAGCTATGGGTGGTCTATTAGGGTCACTAGGATTTCTTTATATATGGAGTTTTATTACTCAACAGTGTGATATCAGCAGAGACGCGATGTTTGCGTCCACATCCACACGACACTGTCTAACAGTGAGCTCCTCCATCTCCCGCACTGATGAGAGTAAATTTCCTTATGCGTCCACATATGGTTTTCTATGTTTTGATTACCATTTTTTTTTTAGAAACGCGAACTTCACAGTGTTTTAGGAACATGATTAAGAAGGGCTTCTCCCCTTTCTTCTGTTGTGTATTCCCTACTTCGCCCGCCTCTATAGGTCCTGATACTACCGTTGCAACCAGGGTGAATGACTAATACCTAGTTCCTGTAGATCCAACAACTGAGGACCATGCCTGCTGATGAAGAGAATGCCGCAACTAGCCAAGCCCAGCTGCCCTCCATGCTGTACAACCTGGAGAAGTTTGAAGGGAAGGGCATAGTCCCCTTCACAAAGTTCATAAAGGACTTTGAGCTTGTCTACGACCTAAGGGCCCTAGACGACGCCAGGAAAAGAATCCTTTTGGACAACCACCTCCGGGGGGCTGCGAGGGAGTTTGCCCTACAATCCCAGCAAATCCGCCTCGGGTACGAAGAGTTGAAGGCGAGTCTAGAGGGGCGGTTCCGAAAGAGGGTCTCTACAAGGGAGATGAGGAGCCAGTTCTTCTCATGTAGACAGGGGGCCGGGGAGAAAGTACGAGACTTCGCCGCGCGGGTGAGCGACCTTGCAGCGGGAGCAGAGTCGGATGGCCTTAAGATAGGCATCTCGGAGATCGCGGAGGTTTTCATCGAAGGACTCTGCCCCAACCTGTGGGAAAAGGCTCATCTATACCAAGGCGAACCCTGGGAGACCCTAGTCACCAAGCTACAGTGGCTGGAACAAAGGGAGGAGGACTACAGGGAGGCGCAGCGCTCCAGCGCCGACAGGAACGGCCAGAGGCTGGGTGACATGGGCAACAAGTTAGCCGAGCTGGAGAAGAAGATGGAGGCACTAGAAATCGAGAATACAGCCCTTAGGAGACAAAGGGGGAGTACCAATAGTACAAATAACGGGGGAGGAAGGTGGCCATCACACCCCGCAGGAAGAAGGGATTATGAAGATAACAGGAGGGGAGCTCCCTTCAGGAACTGGCAGAGGAGACCAGCACAACAACCACCCAGACAACGACGGAATCCATCCCCACCTAGACAACAAAGGAGGGTACCCAACGGTGAAAGGGAGGAGAACCCTGGAGTGGACTACAAGAAGCAGGGTGCAGGGAGACCGCCCCCCAAGTGCTACGGGTGCGGCGAGCCAGGACACCTCATCCGAGACTGCCAGCAGAAGCAGAGAAAAAACTAGGTCCGGCTTGCCTCAAGGCAGGAGGGGGATTTGCGGCCAGTTTACCTGCCATAAATGTATATATCTTAAATAAGGGGAGGTCTCTGGGCGAGAGGTCTCTAAAATTTATCATAGATTCAGGCTCAGAGGCCAACATTGTAAATATTGACAATTTAAATTTATGCACTGAGGGACTAGACAAGCCTACTTACCTTAAAGGTATATCAGGAAAATCTTTAAGGTCATTAGGGAGTGAGGTGTTTGAAATAGGGGCAGTGGTGAATGGTAAGCCCATTAGGGAGGTAAGAACGACCTTCGAGTATTGCCACATGGCGGAAATAGGATTTAACGGCATACTCGGATTACCAGGTTTCCGAGCTCTGAAGCTACACCTCAGCTATGACGGAGGTATCAGATCCGACTACGAAAGAAAGGAAGATCCGACCAAGTCGGCCTTTCTTTCCTCATTACAAACGATAGAAATGTCTCCTCAACCACCCAGGATACCCCTAAACGAAGTCCGCACGGACGACGATATTTTCAGGGCCTTCAGTCATTGCTTCTGCAATGATAAAAATGATATGGGGAATGGCTCCACCATCACAGCCCCCAAGCTGAGGATGCTGACCAGCAAACCAGTATATAGGAGGCAATATCCGATCCCGAACAAATTGGTCTCAAAGGTGAAAGCGTTGGTAGATGAACTGGAGGAAGTAGGGATAATAGAAGGGAGTACCTCTCTGTGGAATTCCCCTCTATTCCCGGTTGCCAAAACCGATGGTAGTGTCCGCATCACCATGGATCTACGTCCGATCAATGAGGCAACTGAATTCTTCCCGTTCCCAATACCCCGTGTTGAAGACAATCTGCGCGCATTCGCGGGTGCAAAGGTTTTCAGCACATTAGACCTGACTTCTGGATTCTTCCAGATTCACATCCCGGAGAGTGACAGAGATTACTTTACCTTCTCTCTGCCCTGGGGGAGATACCGCTTCACGCGTTTGCCACAAGGAGCAAAAAAACTCAGCACAAGTCTTCCAGTGGGCCATGAACTTGGTCCTAGGTGACTTGTTGTTTAAATGCGTTCGCCTGTACATCGATGACGTCATTGTCTACGGCGACTCTCACGAGCAGCATGTAGCGGACCTTGCCGCTGTACTCGGACGCCTGAGTAAGTTCGGTTTGAAGGCCAAATACGGGAAGAGCTATCTCTTCAGGGACTCGGTAGAGTACCTGGGTCATGTGATTGACAAAAATGGGATTAAACCCATGTGGGATAATGTCGCCGCTCTCAGGGATTTGAAACGACCTCATAACATCAAGGCAGTCAGAAGTCTATTGGGTACTGTTAACTATTACCGACGCTTTATCCCCAACGCAGGTGAGGTCCTGGCTCCACTGAGCAACCTATTAAGGAAGGGACATAGATTTGCTTGGGGTACGATAGAGCAGTCAGCCTTTGAGACGGTGAAGGGAATATTAACCAGCGAGCCACTATTAATTCACCCGACAATAGGGATACCTTTCATCCTGAACACTGACGCCAGTGGAATAGCGGTAGGCGCCTGCCTCCAACAGGAGGTCAATGGGACAGTGCGACCAATTGCTTATTATAGCAAGAGACTGACTGGTCCTGAGATCCGCTATTCTACAATAGAAAGGGAGGCTTATGCAGTGGTGTTGTCCCTGCAACACTTTAAACACCTCCTGGTGGGCAGTAGGGTAGAAGTACATACCGACCATAAACCGATTACGTATAATAAGGGGTCTGATTACAAGAACGCTCGACTGTCTCGGTGGGCAGAGATCATCCAAGACTTCAACGTTACATTCATATATGTGCCGGGGAAGGAAAACACGGTAGCCGACTTTCTTAGTAGGTTCCCGTGCGAGGATGATCCAAACCTATCGCAAGATGGGAGGGTGGTGGCTGCAGTGGTAAGAGACCATCGGCCCCCCTTATTAAATAGTAATCGGATATGGGAAGGTTTACTTCAAGAGAAAGGATGGGTTCCAGTAATAAATAAGTTAACAAAATTAGAACCAAATAGCACGGAGAGGTATAATAACCGGGAATATAGGTTACTAGACAATTACCTCGTTACAAAGAATGAAAGGGGTACCTGGGTGAAGGTGGTTCCTACAGGTTTTAGGGAAACAGTGATCAGCTATCATCATGATATCCCTACTGGAGGTCATTTCGGAGTTAAAAAGGTTATGAGAAGGCTGAAGGGTGACTATTATTGGCCTGGCATGAGGACTCAAGTCCGGAATTATATACGCAGATGCGAGAGCTGTCAGCTGTCAAATCAAGGCGTAACCAAAGCCGCTAGTGCTCTCCACTTTAGACCCGAAAAACCCTTTGAGCACCTAGCTCTCGACTTCATAGGACCATTGGAGACAACCCCAAGAGGTTATTCGACTATCTTGACTATTGTGGATCTATTTACTAAGTTCCCAATTCTGATTCCTACTAAGGACCAGTGTGCCAATACAGTGGTTAGGGCCTTATTGGAGAGGATTATCACTACCTTTGGAGTACCAAAAACAATACTCTCTGACCGAGGTTCAGCATTCATGAGTTGCGTATTTAAGGGAGTTTGCAAGGCCATGGGGGTTGGTGCAGTAAATACCACAGCCTGGAAACCTCAGAGTAATGGCGCCGTAGAAAGACTCAATAGGACGGTAATAGAATCTTTACGCAGGTGTACAGCGGGGAACAACTAGGATACCACCTTACCAATGGTAGCTCTCGCTATCAGAACCACTGTACATGATAGTACTGGGTTTACTCCAGCGAAACTGGTCTTCGGACATGAGCTGAGGCTTCCACAACCTTTCCAGGAAGGGGAGCTTAATCCTGTATGCGAGGATTCAATTACCGAAATGGCGGTCTTCTATGAGCGGGAACTGGTGGAGGAGGTTGAGAAAACGAGAGAGATGGTGAGGCAAACTTACTTGATGGAGCAACAAGAAGCCAGGGCTGAGTTTGAAGCTAGATAGTTAAGAACCTTTGAGACAGGGGATCTAGTTTTGGTAAAGAGAATGCATGAGACGAAAGGACGTCATAAATTTGAGCCAAGGTACAGAGGACCATATGAGGTATTACAAAGGGCGGGTGACACTGTTTATCTTTTGAAGGATTTGGAGACGGGGAACTTAGATAAGATCCACATAGATAGAATGAAGGCCTATCATGCCCCGGTAAAGATTTACCCTACAGGGGACGAAAACGCACAGGAACAAATAGATGGTGTCATTGATGATGAGGATCACTGGGTACACCCAACGTATCCAATATATTCCCATAGAACTGTAGGACAAGAGGAACCACGAGAGACAGCAATCTTAGGAAACCCGCTAGGGGTAGTAAATAGGGCAATTGGTGGCAATGTAGGCGGCCCTGAAATACGCCGTTCGACCAGGGTCAAGAAGCCCACGGGGTGTAAATCGTGCCCAGGCTGCCAATGAGTAAACCTATAGAATGTGTACTGAGTTTAGCTAAATTTTTGATCATGGTATGAAGTATTAGGAAGTGATTTGAAGGTCTTAAAATGTGGTCTTAAAAGGATATAAGTTTTTTTTTCTTTGCTACAATTTTGTTTTTTTTTTATTTCTTTAAGTGTCACTGTAAAGGGGTTTTCAGTTTTTTTTTTAATTGAGATTTAATGTTAGGAGGTAAATCTAAGGGTTTTCAGCTTTACTTCTCTTGTGTTTAATTAAACTACAATCCTGTATTAGGAGGCAGGTTGTAATCTAAGACTTAAAGTCCAACAGTTTATGTTGTTTCAATTTTATTTTAAGGTTCTGAATTTTGGTTAAACTTTAAGAATGACTAAGGAACTTAGACGCATTAGGTATCTGCTGTGCTTGTAATATATTCGCTATGGGTTGGTTCGGAATATGCGTTGGGTTTAAACTTGACACCCTCTAATTCCATAGGTCCAGAATAAAGCCCAAAGAGAATTTCTAATGAGAGTGTGTAAGGCAGATATAGTCTAAGAGTTGATATGATAGGATAGCAAGTGATCTCTGTTGTTAAACTCCAGAACGAGCTGGGTACTGAAAGCCCTATAAGTCCAAAGAAAGAGTCTAGCTGAATAGCAGAGAAAAGGGAATGCCAATGACCTACATAAGAAATAGGGTTGGAAAAACACTTGTAGAACTATCATATCTGGCAATGAGGTAAATGCTTGAAGTTCAGTTCGCTCCATTTAAGTGCTAGTTTTGATGATTCGTTTGTTTAGACACCAAGTGTCAAGATAAGAAGATTTTCAAACTGTTAGACACACATTTAAAGTGTTAGGTTAGATTTCAGCATTTGGCTGTTAACAATCATTTTTATTAATTTGTTTAAGTATAAAGAAAGTTTATCTATGAGTAGATAATTTATATAGAGTTTGTATGAGGCATTTATTTAAGTCAATAGGGCTTTATTCCCCACTCTGTTTTAATTAGAAAACTCTATTTGATTTCACATTAGTCCTGGAGATTAGCTATTGTTAGGGTAATGTTGACATTGATTATTGAAGTATTTTGGCTTATATAATAGAATTTAGCTTGTGTATGATTGCTCGCTATGAATGAATTGTATGAATGGGAATGCGAAATGAATGTGAGAAAGCTACAGTCAATTATATTGTGAGCCCAAAATACATTAGAATAGTGTTAAGGAATTTAATAGGTTCAAATTTTGATTTTTTTTTTTATTTCCTTATTTGTTAAGATCTGTAGCCTCACTGGACTGTACAGCTCTATTGATAGGAAAATATCCGCTCCATTTTTGCTAGGTCTCCTTTTAGAGGAGTATAAGTATTGATTCCTTTTTTTAGGGTAATCAGTTACTCTATTTCATTATATTCAACTTGAATTCTAAGAATCGTAGATAATGATCATGTCTCGATTCTCAGACTGGAAGGTTGTGGGAGGTTATGATCAGACCAGAAAGCCCACAAAAACTTCTCCTCTTTAGAGGGAACGGAAAGGTATCAGGTGAACTTTGTGCTAGGTGGGGGATTTAGTAGCCGATGTCGCAAGCAAGGTGCATAGCGACAAACCTCGGATAACCGATCTGACATCGTAGTTTACGACGCTTTAAGCGTGGCTGAGATGAGGGTGATTCAGACGGGAGGTTGGGAAGGTTCAGCGCGTTGAAGCTCCTCGATATATTGCGCAGCTTGGAACCAACCCTCTATGACAGAAAACTTGAAACACGTGCTGGGTGAACAGTCCCTATAACTCCTTGATTTTAAGTCATAGTCTAATGGGGGTTTCTAATGAGAGTTAACAATGAGAGAGCGTGTAAGAGACAAATTACGATTAGACGAGGCGATTCCGTCTACAGATTTTTAGGTACCAGTTAGCAAAGTGACAGATGGACTGTCCAGATTCTTTACGTTTTATATCGCCCCAGGCTAGCAAAAGTTAACCACCTAATTAAAGACTTTAGTCTGTCATACGTTTAGTTAGAACGAATTCAAGCCTAAACACCAGTTAGTAAGTAGATTTTTTTTTTCACGAGAATAACTCGTTCTATGTTAAGATAAATTTTAAATTAGTAGGCCACCTAAATGAACCTTTGAAGCAGATTGCCAGAACAAGCCAATATAGCGTCCCAGATTTGCAAAGGAATTTTTTTTTTGTTTTGACAGTAAAATGGCCTAGAGCAATGGGTTATTTTGTTTTATTTTGGACAAAGAGTCAAAATTTTCAGAGAGGTACTAAGAACTCAAGTGGAAAATATATCACAAGATATAAGTTAGACCTAGGCTGTTAATCGTCATAGTTTATTTTCAGGGTTAATTTAAGTATTTTTTTTTAGTGGATTTGTTGGTCAAAGAGATGAGTACACATTCTATAGACAAGCTAAACTATGCACAGTAGGGGTTAACAACAATGTTCAGCTAAGAACAAAGATAGGTGAGATTGCCACCACAGATAAGGTAATTTGGAAATAGTCTGGTTTGGGGACGTATTGACTACCATGATTTCCTTCCTATATATTTTCCTTGATTTAAGAGAAGCGGGGAACACACCAGACAAACACTCCCAGTGACGAATTGGTAAGAACAAGTTTTAAGATATTACATGTAGATTTTGAAATACTAGTGAAATGACCTAGTCCCTCAGTGCATATCTGTTCGTTTTATTATCATTATATACTCATTATTACTATATATCATGTATCATTCCTTTATTATATTCATGTATATTTGTATATATAGAAAGCACGGTTCGGATTATAAATGTGTGACATTTTGGTAGCAGCGTTGTCACCATCTTCAGATAAAATGCACTAAACAAGTTTTAACCACAGCATATATATATATTTTTTGTTTATTTACCATAATATTATTCCCATATCAGTGTTATTATAATACACTCCCATATCAATGTTATTTCCTTCCCATATATCATATTTTTCAAGAAGTTTGGCATATTCATCATACAGAGGTGATATCTTCTCATTTAATGTATCATCCACCATGTTTACCCTTTTCCCTAATTACCTGCACGAATATTCATATATAGATAAGACACAGTTTGAGCTATAGACTACAAAAGGATAAAGATAACGAGACCGATTCCAGAACAAATAATTAATATGTGTGACATTTTAGTAACAGCATTGTTACCATCTTCGGACAAATGTACCGAGTGAAGATTTTAATCACAATTTATATATTCATCTGTTTACCATAGTATATCCTATATATATATATGATAATTTAAACCAATAACCCTATATTATATAATACTTATAACAAGATTGTCATGTTGTATATAGAACTAATTATAAACTATAACTAATTATACGCATAATTGACATGTCTCCTTGCATCACCATATGTAATGTACTGAGGATGAATAAATAAAACTATATAATAGATTAAAATCTGAGTTAAGAGCCAGAGAGAGAATCACAAGTAACTTCTACAGATAGATTGGAAGCCGACAGACCGGTGCCAGTGTCGATTAACGGACACGTGCAGTAAGGCAATACTTCCTGGTCCCCTTCCTGGTCCAAGAAGTTGTATAAATAAGACCGGCCTTAGCAACAGAGTTAGTCAGTTCCCCATCCGCGTGTCGCCGGTTGTCACCAACTCATCGACAATGTAAAACAGTAAGAAACCTCTAATCTCCATCTTTGCTCTTGGCTCGACTTTTTATCTATTTAAGGAATTTTCCTTCGACAACTGTGTCGCTTCGTTTTGTGTGTGTGGACATTCCCAAGCTTTTCCACTCTGCCTCGACCACGACTGCCTGTACTTTGTGAGAACTGTTAAAGGTCCTACAAGGTGCATAGAGGTACTGGAAAACTCTCCACGCCCTGATTGTCCCTCTCGGTTACTACAGGTTTGACCCTCGGTTGCCACAGCTTATAGCGAGAGTCGACGAGGTACTACAAGAGTCAACCAGAACTTTCAACATATTATTACAGAGAGTCGACAGGATCTCAACATATTATTACATATATATATCAAACCATTCCCTTCCTACTTATAGTAAATATCCATTTTGAGATTTTTTTTTATTTAACATCGCGTATATCTACATTGCTCCATTTTGGCATACATCGTATCCGTGCAACTTTAATATGTATATTCACTTCCCACGTTTCTGTTTTGCCCTATTATTAATGTCATTGATAGGAGTTGCAATTTTAGTTTCTTTTTTTTTTTTTATTATCATTGTGACCATGTATAGTCATTCCTTTGCTGTCATATGTATCATATGGAGTTAATAAAGTTTTTTTTTTATTTTTTTTTTAGATATGTTTTAGGAATTGGGCATATCTACAATACACGCACAATTCCTTGGCGCCCGTAATTATTATGCTAACCCGAATGGCCTAAGAATCTGTTTGCACAGAATCTGTGTATAGACCACCCCATCTCCACCCACAGGGACTGCGGCCGGGAATGTGTGGATTCGACTCACATCTGGGCCAAGACTCCCTGGAATACAGACAGCGAAAGGATGGGCTTAGTACATTGCCCATTAAATGGTAGGGTATAATTTCCTCCAGTAATTACATTGAGCTAACTTGTTCCAGGTTCATAGCTCGTGTGTTCCTCCTTTGCCCGAGTGTCAGTGATTGCATACTGATATCGTAAAAGAATGCATTTCCCCTCAATTTCATATTTCTCATAGTGTATAAACAGATATGAATTGGTGTAAACACATTCTTTCACTCTGGCAGGGGAGGAATTGTTGGGTCAGATTTTCCACCAGACAAGACCCAACAAAGATGTAAACATTTACATCATATAAATATATACGCAGTGTCTCGCCGAAGTGTTTGTTGCCTAGGTGGAGAACTCCCAACGATGGCCGACGATGCTCTAAAGACCCAAAGCCCGCTGCAGAAGGGCCGAGACGAAGGATGTACAAAGAGCACATGTACAAATAAAACTAGACACTTGAGGACACCAGACTTCCATGCCGAAAACCGATGCCTGGTGAAGAGGAAGACACGAGTGACATCCAGAGACATCCATGCTGGGAGCTGCTGTACCATATGTACATATATATCCCCCTCAATTTTAGATAGAGGTGACTGAAAGAAAACAATTTGTCTTATAAAAACATTTAAATCAATAACCTTTTTTTTATACTCGGGATATATATATTATTTAGTTTCCTAAAGGAATTAATTTGTTTTTCAATATACATTTTTTTTTCTCTCGCGCGGCAACACGGTAAATTGGAGGCGTGGTCATGATCACGTGCGTGTTGGCTTTCGACGAATGAAAATGCCAGCCAATAGAAACTTTGGCGTGAGCAGCGAATGAAAATGGAGAGAGGCAAGGAAAAAAGGGGTTTTCTTTGCTAAAAGAGATAGACACAGAGTCGCTCAGTGAGAGGAGAGATTCCACCAGAGTCGACAGTCGGGCCCGAGACGCAGACCTTGCCACCGCTTTCGAGAGAAGGTAAGCCCCTCGCCATTATGGCTTAGCCTCCCCCCTTTTCGAGCAAAGCTAACGTAGATTTCGCATGGGCCCTAAAGGGCTCTAAGTAACTAAAAAGGAATGATAGGGATCTTATATTTTGTCCCGCCAGAATAGATGGAGATCTTGGTTTTCCCCTTTAGAAAGGCAAATTTGTAATTTCAAGTCACCTCTATCTAGATTATTATGTAAATAGCATATCTCGCTAGTATAGAAATGTTCCCAAAATTGAATTTAATCTGAATAAATATCTAGTATATAACATATATGGAGAATTTTGTTTCCTCTCATACATATTTCATTCTTCTGTTTTATGGTACTACCCCCACATCTTATTATCACAAATTGTATTAAATATAGAACTACCGACTCTGTTGGAATAGAGTTGTGTACTATATCTTTGCTGTGATATATTGACACAGCAACAGTTGCAAAATACGACTTTATTAGGGCTACCTTGAGGGTATCTATCTGTCAGGTTTTAGTAATGTTTGTACTTTTATGTGAGGAATTTGTCCTTCTTTCACTGCTTAAAACGAAATATAGCATGATTTTATCTATTTGGAGGGAATGTTACTAATAATCAAGTCTTCTAATAATTACTGGCCAACATACACTGCCGAACGTGCCTGCCAAAGGAGCCAGTTCTCCTGTCTGGGTTTCAGTGTGTTATTCCATCATATTTACCATTATACCATATCTTGATTTAAATCTAATAAGACCCATGCTGCCTTATACTCATAGATTGTTCTCTTTATGATTTTATTGTAAACCTTTTGTTTTAAATATATTACAAATGTCAATGTCAATAGTGTAGGCCTATAGATTTTGCTTGTCTCATAGCTTATTTTGCTAGGTTTTAGTATAGTCTTCATAAATAGAGTCCTTCCATACATCTAGATAG